TCAGTTAGGTGAGGCAAGACCCCGAACCTCCTCAAAGGGGATCTTATATAGGCCTTCACTGGCCGTTACAGCAAAGCCCGCGCATTTCATAGCCAATAGATTTGTAACAACATATGCTTTCCTAACCAATCCAATTAAGGGTACATCACTTCTTAGCCTATAGTTTAAAGATCAGCATTTTGCGTCGGTGCTTAGGAACTGACAGGTTTTTAAGGCAGTCCTGGGTCTTGCAACATGGGTCTTATGAGAGACATCCGGTTATCTGGTCTGACCCCCACCCTTCGAGTACCTGTATCTGAATTCCTTGCTCAGGGGTAGAGAAACCAGTTATTTTGCAGTGCAGACTCCTATAAAGCGGATCTGAAAAAGCTTATCTAGACCTGTTCCTTGAAAAACAAGTTATTTTGCAATGCAGGTTCCTATTAAGCTAAGCTAAATTAATTCTGGTGGTAGTCCATTTTGGGCCTGTCCCTTACAATAAATGCCCCAATATCTTCCACCAGAGTTCACTCTATCCAATTCTCCTCCTCTCCCCCAACACCCGCCCTATACCATAGTTAACTTAGTTCTGTTCTTGGATCTTAAATAAGATATCAAGCTCTGTGGCCTCTGACCATTTACTTCTCACTGTTTCTTTATATACCACCTATGAGAGAGATCATTCTGCATCTGTCCCACTCCTGACTCATCATAATCATCACTCATCACTCCAGATTCCTCTACAAATCACAATCAAAAACATCCTGTTATTCGTCAACTGCCTCGAGCAGGCCCCAGTAATGTCTGTCGTCCTAGCCCTGAGATTTTTTTTTTTTAGAAAGTGCCATATTCTTTTTTTTTCTTTTTTTATTAGTGAAACACCATGAGGTACAGTTATAGACTTACAAATTTTGTGCTTGGGCCCTTTCAGAGTTAGGAGAATGAGACCCTTCATTGTTACTGGTATTTGGCATATTGGGTACGCCACGGGAAGTTTGCCAGACTCTGCCGTGTAGGCAGGTTACATTCCGTAGCCTGCCAGTTTGTCTAAAGTAGGAATGAGATGATAAGATGTTGCGCACGGCCGTGAATGTGGCCACGCGCTTCCAGGAGCTGGGATTTATAGTCTCTGAATCTTGGCCGTTGATGGGATTACATGGCGCCAGGGGGCCAGTTGGTGGATATGGCCCCCGCCTACTGGAATTTGGAGGATCTGGGTGGAGGATGCTCAGCCCCAATCCGAGTAGGCTTGGAGATCTCGGTCCTGGGACCCGCGTGGCTTTGTCCCTCTGCCGGTACCTTCATGTGTGCGGAGAGTGGTCTCAGCATGGTGGTGGCTGGATCTGGAGGTCTTCGGCTGCCGGAGCCCTGGTTGGGGCGAGGAGGAAAACTCAACCCGCTCCCCTCCAAGGGGCCCCGGCGAGGACAGCCAGGTCCGGGGGCAGGAGACTCTGCAGATTCCTCTACATATAAGCAAATTGCATGATTTCAACTTTATATAGTCAAGTTGGATTCCTTTGTATATATGTGCCATAATTTCTTATTCAGTCACCTGTTCTTGGACACTTGGGTTGTTTCCAAATTTTGACTATTTTGAATAGTGCAAAACAAACAGAGGGGAAGAGATTTTTGTTTGTTTGTTTTTTGTTTGGGGGCCACAGTGATCTAACAGTGATACTGGTTTAATACTGGCTAAGTACTCAGGGATTGACTCCAGGCAGGCTCGGGGAACTATATTGGATACCAGGGATCAAACCTGGATCATTTACGGCAAATGCCATATCCACTGTTTAATCACTACCCATAGCAATTTCTTAAGGCCAAACATTATTTCTTTACTTATTCCCATGGGGTCAAATCACCACAATGATGTCATTTTCCAACATCTGTTACTTAAACATAGTTACCTTACAATTTTCCCATGCTTCATCATCATTCAACCAGGAAGTAAAGCAATATATACTGAAGTGACAATATCTGACTCAAAATGCACTAAGGTATGATTTGGAATAGGCAACTAGCTTTTGAAGACTTCTCTAAACCATCTACACGAAACTAAAACATTTCTTTTATCTGTGCTAAAAATTATACTCTTAGAATTTAGTTTATTGACTTTATACTAATATAGTGAGTGAATAGAATGGTGCAGATTAGGCACTATGATTTACAATACTGTCAATGTAATGACATGCATGCATACAATGTTCCATCACCTGTTCCGTCAAAAAGACCAAGTTCCCTAATGGATTTGATGTAGATGATTATCTCACCTTCCCACCATAAAATTGTCCACAATCTACAGCCCTCAATTCATGTCCAGTCTGCCTCAAAATTGCGCATACACCCCCACTATTGCCTACCTCCCCACACCCTTACTTTTCATTATGCAATTTATAATCTGGGGCAAAATCTAGCTATCATTTGATCATTCTATTCTCCTGTATATGGTATCCAGTATTTTCTTTCCTTGACTTATTTCATTAAGTGTTCCAATTTTAGACAAGTTACCATGAACTGGGAATTATAAGATTGATCTTATATATTCATAGTATTTATAAAATATATACGCATATACATTAATATGTGTGTGCGTGTGACAACATTTTAATATATTTCTCTGTCATTAGCTGTTTGGGTCCTTTTCATATTCTGGTTATTGTAAGGACTACATTGAACTTTGGTGTGTGTATATATCTTTTCAAAGGTAACGTTTTGTATGGAGGTGGGGAAAAAAACAATAAATGGAATCACTGAGTCATATGGAAGCTCTCTCATTATTTTTTTAAATTTTTATTAGTTAAACACCACAGGTGCAGTTGTAGACTTACAAGTTTCTGTGCTTGGGTTTCAGTTATACATAGTGTACCCATCCTTTCACCAGTGCCCATTCTTAACCACCAATGATCCCAATATCCCTCCCATCCTTCCATCCCTCCATCCCATCCAGTCTCTGTGGCAGGGCATTCCCTTTTGTTCTCACTCTCCTTTTGGGTGCTGAGGTTTGCAAAAGAGGCATTGAGTGGCAATCAAGTTCGGTCTATAGTTGACTTTCAGCATGCATCTCCCAACCTGGGAGGATCCTCCCAACACCCTTTACCTGATGCTCCCTTCTCTGTCTGAGCTGCTTTTCCCCCTAGCATGTGTAGCTGGCCTTCAAGCCATGGAGTGAACCTCCTGGTACTTATCTCAACTATTCTTGGATGTTAGTTTCCTATTTTGTTACTTTATAATTCCTCAGATGAATGCAATCCTTCTGTGTCTGTCCCTCTCTTTCTGACTCATTTCACTTAGCATGATACTTACCATGTAGTACCACTTGTATGTAAATTTCATGACTTCATCTATTCTAACAGTTGCATAGTATTCCATTGTGTAAATGTACCAAAGTTATTTTTTAAAGAAATGTCCATACTTACTTTAATAAAGCCGGAAGTATAGAACATTTCAACAACAGTGAATAAGGGTTTCTTTTTTTCCCACATCTGCACCAACACTGATTATATCCAGTCTTTTTGATATATACAACACTGACATGAGATGATATATTAGTGTTGAGTTTTTTTTGCATTTCTCTAATAATGACAATGAATACTCTTTCAAATGCCAATTGACCATCTATATGTATTCTTCATAAAATTTTCGGATAATCTTATCTCAGTATTTTTAACAGGTCATTAGGTTTGCTTGTTGGTGTGCTTATCTGCTTTTATTGCTGAGCTTTGTAAAGCATATTTTCTATATCTTGGGCTGGAGTGATAGCACAGCAGGTAGGGCGTTCGCCTTACAAGCGGCCAACATGGCCGACCTGAGTTCGATTCCTCCGCCCCTCTCGGAGAGCCCAGCAAGCTACTGAGAGTATTCGATATGCCAGACACAGTAACAACAAAGTCTCCAATGGAGACGTTACTGGGTCCGCTCGAGCAAATCGACGATCAACGGGAGGGCCTTTACCTTTACCTGTTACCTGTATATTATCACTTTATGTGCTGCATGTGTGAAAATATTTTTTCCCATTCAGTGAGTTTTTTTATTCTAGCTGAGAGTCAATGTAGTCCTATTTATTTTTTAACATTGTTATATTTGTCATAGAATCAAATTATTGAAAACAACTTTGAGGTGTTTATAACAAATCCCTGGTCAACATAATTTTCCAAGGCAAAAAAAAATGAAATCCGTTCTCTGAGATCAGTGATAAGGAAAGGTTGGATACCATCTACTTATTATTAAATACAACATTGGAAGTCCTCCCTACTACAATTGTATGAGAAAAATAAACAAAAAGAACTTCCAATCCCCACCCGGAGTGGTCCCTGAGAAAGAACCAGGAGGAAGCCTTAAATACAACTGGGTGTGTAACCCCCATCCCAAAAAATACAAAAAAAGAAAAGTGGATCAAGAAATGGGTGCTAATTTTTATAATTAATTTCCTCTTTTACTTTTCACATGGATAGAGTGTTTTATATTGCATTTATTTTTGAGGGTTTTATCTCTTTGTTTTTGTTAAGTCACTTGATTTAGAACTGTATTGTAACAAAATATGGAAGCAAAACACCTGCAGTAATTTCCCAGGTATTGATAGAAGGGACATAGGTCAAAGGAATAGGAGCAGCTGCTTTTGACAAGGTTTAATTCCATTACCAGAATGATTTTAAGAGGCTTAGAAAATGTAAGTAAGTGGTAATGAATTTTAGTATATATGTAGAGAGAGTCAGTGCTTTGAATATTTAATTTAATTCCAATTTTGAAATTAAAATTAACCAAAATGTTTTTCAATGGAAGCAAACAGGGGTAACTGGGTAGAAACACTTTGTTTGGGAATTATACATTTTATGTAAAAGTACTTTATATTACTAATTGATATTGCTCACTCTTTAGTACAACCTTTCTTTTATTATGAAGAAAATAATTATAAGCAGAACTAAAAGAAAATCTCAAAACAGAAGTCCAAATATAAAGTAAAAAGACAGAATTTTTGACTGCTTTTCTCTATTTAACTACATATTTTTATATGACAATGATACATTTGCTTTTCTTTCAACTATAATTTCTTCTTATTTCTTTTTATCTTCACTTCACTGCTTGTCTCCTGACATAATTGCTTGGTTCTTTTTTCACGATCCAGAATTTCTTTGGGGAGCAGGTTTTTTTCAACAAATACAGCTTTCAGAGCTATAAAATGATAAAGAAATGACATAAAAATTATACTAAAAATGAAAATTATACTAAATAAGAAACCCATCTGAATGACATATTGAGAAGGAAATTATCAAGTTTCACTTTTTATAAAAATGTATATGCTTCTAAAACCAAGAGTGTGTTCAGTGATATTTGTCTTAAGTTTCTGCTATTTCTTTCACTTCAATTTTAATCTTAAAGTTAAGTTTAACAGAAAAGTTTCTATTAATATATTTAAATAATGATAGAAACTGCCATTTAGCAATAGAAGAATAAAGAAGCTTGTGTTTTCAATTTTTGCTTCCTAATTTACTTAACACCTATCAAGGACTCTTAAAAATCTAAAAACAAATTATTCTGTATCAAAATAAGACAATTAAATAATCAAAACACAGTTTGACTGTCTGCATGACTAAACAAATATATCTGCAATCACATTCTTATAAGATACTCTCATCTACAGGGATCTTTGACTTCAGAAAAAAAAATAAAAAAGAACCAATTATCCCCATGAGTAAGTTAATATTGTACATCAGTGAGAAGTAGGTGGAAATTATGCTATGAATTCAAGAAACTAATTTCTGCCTTTTGCCTAATTGCATTATTTCAACAATTCTTTATTGAATGCATATTATGCAGTGTTCTATATTCATAAATAAATGAAAAACAAAAATTATCAAGTGTCAGATTTTCTTCTAAATGGTAGGAGGAACAATGTTCAAATGACCAAAAATATCATACCATATAGGAAATATATTCAGAGAGACTTTGAAAACACAAAATGTGGTTAAACATATGTCATAGCACATGTCGAAATCAAAAGAAAAGCTTTAAAAATGTGATTGTGGGGGACTGGAAAGATAATACAAAAGGCAAGTCACTTATCTTGCATATGCACGGTGAACCAGGGTTCAATACCCTGTACCCCATATTCCCACCAAATATACCCAGAGTGATTCTTAAATACAGAGTCAGGCGTAAGTATAAAGCACCATGAGTAATACCCCAAAATCAAACAAAAAATATCTGTGATTAATCCTGAAGTCTAGACTGAGACACAATAATAATTAATACCTATGGAAATGAGAGTTGGAAGAGTTTTCAACTAGACAAAACAAAGCGAATAAAAATATAAATAAACAGCCATTAATCTATATCTGAATACTTCATTGTAATTTAACTGAAACACAAAATATTTTGAGAGTAAAGTATATTGAATTGAAGCTAGACTAAGAAACATTTCAGGGGTAATGGTGGCCTCCCAAGGAGATCCTCAGGCCTTGCTATGATTCACCCAACAAGCTCTTGGTTCAGCACAAGGCCCCAAGGACATGATGATGCTCAGACCCTGATTCTCAGGCCATCCTAGAATTGCTGCGGACCTCCAGTGTGGCAGTTCATGATGTTCAGATGACCATGTTGTGCTGGGAACTGAAGATGATCTGAAGATTGCTAATCATATACTCTAATATACTTTTTTCATGCCACTAACAAACATTTTAAGTGCAAAGATAAAAAATATGAATAAAGAAACCATGTAAGCCTTGGCATGTGAACACAGATAGTATGAAGGTATCTCTATATATTTATATTAAATTTTCATATATAGAAACTACTTCCTATATAAATATAACTTTATAATTTAGTACCTTTTCCCTTTGTCTCTTGGATATTACACAAGGACAACCAGGAAAATTAGGGAAAATAACTCTTGAAAACAAATGTTACTTTCCTCAAAAAACCAAAATAGATATTACCTGAAAGCCCATAAATCTGAAGATTGACAGCCAAATCCAAATTGGGCAGAAGTAAAATTGGAAAGAAAAGTGGCAAGTATGGAGAGGATAAGGCCACCAGGAGTAGCATCTTAGAGTGTACTACAGAAAAACATTAACTAAAACCGCAGGGCTCATTCACCCAGGAATGCAAATATGTTATCTTTCCTTTACATCGTGGATTCTTAAGAGATATGAGTAAGTCTGAAGCAAAAACTTTCCCATTCTTGTTTGGGTAAATGGAGAAAAATATGGATAAATAAGAATCACATAAAGAATCACCCACAGGAAATATGAGCTGTGACTCAAAGAGTATGATCTGTGACTGATTTCAATCCATGCCACTTCGTGGTTCTACTTCTCAAGAATGCCTCTGAGGCCCCCAAACCATCAAGCCAAACATCTCAATCTTAGATATGCACAAGGCTAAACATCTCCCAGAATGACCTAGAATTCCTTTTCCTAGTACTGCTTTGTGTGCTTTTATTCAAAAAATTATGAACGAATGAATTACATTCATGAATCACATTTTTGTTAAAAAGTAGCCTTCCATGGTAGGTTGCAAACAGTGAAATTTGCCCTGTTCCCATATTTCAACTCAGGCATCGAATACAAATATTAAGTTTAAGAAAACCTAACATATTATAACTAAAACTAAATAAATTGGTTGTGGGAAATGTACACTGGTAAAGGGACAGGTATTGGAACATTATATGACTGAAAATGTGAAAAACTTTGTAGCTGAGTATCTCACTGTAATTCAATTTAAAAAATTTTAAAACTGATTAGAAACAATTAAGGATAAAATGTTATAAACACTAACAAGGATACCAAGTTTGTATTACATGAAAAATTGAAAACAGAACTAAACAAATTTTTAAAAAATAGTATCAAACTGGTAAAAAACAAATATATTAATCAGAACTAAAAAATGTTTTAGATAAATATTGCTTTAAATGTTTATGTAAATATGCTAAAAGATAGATGATATAATTTATATTGAATTAAAATGGTAGACAATATATGAAAATGGATGGTTAAATAGTATTACTAAGTATCTTATGTGAAAAAACTTGAAATAAAAGTTGTTTCTATGAAAGAGCAGAGCAGAAATGAAAAAGCTTTCGGAAGAAATGAAAATACAACTAACAGGAATTGCTAAAATGTGAATTGGCAAAAATCAAATAAATAATGCAAAAATGCACTGTGTGGTCAGAAGACTCAACTAGCAACACATACAGTAAATCCTCAGACAATGACTTTAACAACCCCATTGTTAATATAATAAATTTCACAAACTTTATTCTACAGACATTTTATTTTTGTAATTCCACAATTTTGTTGTAGCAAGAACTATATTGTGTGCCTGGCAAGGGGGCAGGTTTGGGGGATGGATGGAAATTGGAGACAGTGGGAAAGGAAAGGTCACACTGGATTGGTGCTAGAACATTGAACGCCTGAAACAACTGTGTTAGGAACAACTTTGTAAACCAAGGTGTTAAAACAAAGTCTATAAAAAAAAATATACTGTGTGGTAACATATTATACAAATGAAAAAGACAATTACAACACATTAAGATAAAAATTTTCACTGTCACTGTCAATGTAGTTCATCAATTTTCTCCAGCGGGCCCAGTAACATTGTGAAATTTGTTGTTACTGTTTTTGGCATATTGAATACATCACGGGAGCTTGCCAGGATTTGCCGTGTGGGCGAGATAGTCTTGGTAGCTTGCTGGGCTCTCACAGAAGGGCAGAGGAATTGAACTCAGGTTGACTGAGTCGGCCGCATGCAGAGCAAAAGTCCTACCCACTGTGCTATCACTCCAGCCCATTTTTATTTTAAGAAAAACATAAATGGCTGACTCTTTAATAAATAATAAATAAAACTAGAAAAAATAAATAATAAATTTATTTTATTTGGTAATAATTTATTTTATTATTTAATAATAATTTATTTAATAATAATACTAGAAATAAATAAAACTAGAAAAATGTTAAAACGTATCAATAAAAATTTCCTCAGACAGACTATAGATATACATGTACTGTATATAACATGCATCAAGAAAAAACAGCTTTAAAATAATCAAAACCAAGATGCATCCTAAGAATATATTCCTAAGATAATTATTTTACCATCTCAATAATTAGTCACTTATGAAGAGAGAAATACGGAACCAAAGTTATAATACAAGGAAAAGCGTTTGCCTTGCATGCAGCTAACTGATCCTTAGAAGTACATATGCTCCTGAGCACTGCCAAAAGTAATCTCTGAGCAAAGAATCAGAAATAAGCCTTGAGGGGGCTGGAGCGATAGCACAGAGGGTAGGGCGTTTGCCTTGCACACAGCCAACATGGCTGACCCGGGTTCGATTCCCAGCATCCCATATGGTCCCTCGAGAACCGCCAGGAGTAATTCCTGAGTGCATGAGCCAGGAGTAACCCCTGAGCATCACCCAGGCATCACCCAGTGTGATCCAAAAAGGTAAAAGGTAAAGGTAAAGGCCCTCCCGTTGTTCATCGATTTGCTCGAGCGGGCCCAGTAACGTCTCCATTGGAGCCTTTGTTGTTACTGTGTCTGGCATATCGAATACGTCACGCGGAGCTTGCCAGGCTCTGCCGTGCGGGCGAGATACTCTCGGTAGCTTGCCGGGCTCTCCAAGAGGGGCAGAGGAATCGAACTCGGGTCGGCCATGTTGGCTGCGTGCAAGGCAAACGCCCTAACGCTATGCTATGAAAGAAGCCTTGAGCAGAGTAGATACCCTCAGAGAAAGAGTGAGAGAGAGAGAGATCTTGGATCTTATATTGGGCGTTTTCATGGCAATTATTTGCACCAGAAGATAGAACAACACCAAGGTAATAAAGGAAATAACCTTGAGGTGGAGATATAATTTTCATCTAGACATAACATAAGGTAGATATTTTAAATATATGCCTCAAATTAAAAAATCCAAGTCATTTTAACATGCAGGGAATTCAGAAATTACTGCTCTCATGACTACCTTTTCAGTAAATTATAAGACTAACAGAGAAATAACAGAAGAAAATAGGGTGCGGCAGAAAAATGATGGTGAGTATTGAGTACAGTGAGTTAAAAATAAATTAAAAAGAAGTCAATATCACACGACTATAAAACGGACATAAAAAACAAAATTGGCAAAACTGTAGGAATAAAATCTTCATTCATGATATATCAATCATAGTTAAGAAACAAAG